GGTGAGCACTACTTACCAAGCAAGGGAGCCTGATGTGACAGGCGAGGGGACGTCGACCATGATGTCGAGGTTGGTCAACAGGGTGTCGACGTGGCAGCGAGTTCACGTCCGTGGCTGGTTAGTGTGGTGTTGTTGCTGGCAATGCTCGACCCCCTCCAAACTTTGCCAGTCTTATGTGTTGGGCGTTGGTGTGGAGCTGGAGACAGCGGAGAGGCATGACGTGGTTGATAACGATGGTGGCAGCGGCAAAGACGTGTGATTGTGGCGAGGTTGTAGCTTGACGAGGGAGGCAATGGGGTTGATGACAAGAATTTGCGCCCTTTTTGACGCTGCGGAGTACGCTGAGTATGAACATATTTCCCACACTCTTCGTCAAGTGTGTTTCACTAAAGTTGTTCCAAAGGCAATCCGAAGGGGGTGAATAAATATAAATTTAATGATTAAAGAGGTGCTAGATACTATGGACTTCATAAAACGTGGTACTTGAGTGAGAAATGTGGAGGTATCATAATTTGTGGGCGACGCTGTTGAGCAGCTTTAGACGAGAGCTGGTGTCCACAAAGTAAACTCCTAGCTGCCAGCTGGGATCCGGCAGGCTGCCCAACAGCTGTCAATTGGATAGCCGACAGGGGGGAGGTTTGATGCCGATCAGGAATTTCGGCATTCTGCCATCACCCTGGGGCCCAAATGGCGGTGTAGGCAGAGGAAATTCGTCGGATATTAGACGTAGATTGGTCAGATGAGTATATTGAGCAGTGGAAGGTAAGCGTATTAGCTGGTTATCTTAATTTTCAAGTGCCCATGGAAACGTGCTTCTTCAGGCAAGGTTGAGAGAAGTGAGCCGGGCATACCTTGACGTTACGAAGACGTTCATGGACCAACCAACCAACTTGGCAAAAGTTGAGCAGAAGGTATCTATTTCATTTCATTTAAGCTTCAACTCTTTAACTCTGTCTTTAGTTGTGGTCAGTGTACCCTGGTTTGTTTCTGAGGGAAGACGAAGAACTTCAGTTACGCAGAGATTTGGCCCGAGCGTATATGTCAAAGACCTTTAGCAATGATTGACACAGAGAGACAACAGCGTCTGTTTCTGCTAAAGTACGCATCTTGTCCTCTTATTTTGCGATATAAACTTTCATGGCATTCTCATTCAGAGAACTATCAAACAGTTGGAGGTCTGTCCGTTTTCATTCCTACGTTTGGAGCAGTGAACCTGATGAGTTTTAGGGAGAAAATCAAGGCCCATCGGAACCCGATTCAGCTCTAGCAGAGCCTGTCCATGAACCATTCCAACTTCATTGAAGCGCATCCCCTCCAAACGAGATATCGGAAGCAGAAAACCCAACAGCTGAAGTCGCATTGTTTCTGGAAACTGCTAGTACCCCCGACATGTCCCATTTTTTGCCCAACTTCATCAGTTTTGGCTGCAAAAGCGAAAAATACCTGTCAGAAGTCAGTACCTGGGAAGATGTTGAAATTACGGAATTTTTGAAGCTTGTATCCAATAGTGGGGAGTCTAAGTTGAGCGGCATGGACACTCTTGTTATCAAAAAACATTTTCGTCATTTTTTCGGCCCTCCTTAGTACTTTCTATACACAATAACTTGTACATATTTTCTCACATCTAAAAATCATCAATCCCTCAGTTGTTATTTGGAATTCCTTTTGACTTCAGGCTCTGGTGATATTAAGATTACGGCTACAGTGGATATCCTGTCAAGGATCTTTTACGCACTTTGTAGGGTATGACTGCCATGCTGGGGGAATGTTGTTATCATATCGTATATTCTATCATGCCAGTGCATGTTTACCTTCAATGTCCTGTTTATATCATTCACTACAACTGTTGTAGTGAGAATCTGTGAGCCAAACTTTAAGATATGCCTCAACCTTCTCCATGTCATTGTGCACCATCAAACCACATCATTGTGCGCCACCTTTTTGCAGTGATATAACAGGTCATTTCTGTCGATCTGGTACAAGCTTCCTGCTTCCGTCAAGAACATCACTATATGTGTGCAAGCGCGCTAAGCATCACTAAACAGTTTGTGGTCTTGCTGACATAATAGGGTGCGTCGAGTTGCATTGTAGAGCCAGCTCTAAATTTTATAAAGTCCAAGTCACCAATTTATCACAATCGCTTCATCCATGTTGATATTCCATGTCAATAAAAAGCTTCGGAATTAGAAAATGAGGGTGTGTCTATGTACAAATTTAATGTGAGAATTGAGTAAATGTTTTAAAGAGTGTGAGTATGACTGCCGATGCCATCATAATGGTGATGATATGTTACGGAGATAAGGATATACGGGAAAGTAAGACATTTCCATCCATCCGCTTTCTAGCTCATGAACTTGACGAAACTATGATGCCATTCACGATCAATGACTTGTTTATGAAGATATGCGTAATGAAATGACATACACATTGTCGCCTCCTGCAATACACCATGTCCACAGAGATTTTTTCTACAAACCAAGGATGGATCGTATCCAACTGAAACACCCAGTGCCATGGGTGTCTTGGGAAGATGCGAAGGAAGATTGTGGTGGACTGTCCCCGAAATGGTCGGCTGGTGAAGAAGGTGGATCATTGATTGAGGTGCGTCCGATCTGTTGTATATAATCGGTGATGTCAAAACGTACGACTTCCAAAGGGAATCCGATAACAATCCAGGCATCTGGATAGTGGCGGGTTGGACGTTTGACTTTGCATTCAATGAGTGCTAACCCATTGCGTACGACAAGGCAGTTCATTGCTCGACAGCTGAGGGGGGGGTACATCTGTACACCTTTTTCGTCGAAGCAAGCAAGCTCTGTTCCTGCGACAATTTGGCATGGTCAGCCAACTTCTATAGCTTGGTATTCGGTGGTTAACCTTGTAAAATAGGATGGAGTTTCACTCTCGCGGTTGTGATACTCTTTTCTATGGTCCAACACAACTGGGATCTCGCCGAAATGGGTTGGGCAGTTTTCTCCTTGGAATGTGCCACAGTGAACACTGGTGTCAGAATTGGTGTTGGTGTAGCCTATAGGTGGTGCAAGACTGCGGCGGTTTGGTAAGCTATTGTGTCTGGCAGCATGGGGAGTTGAGCGATGTGGCAATGATAGAAAGGACATTTTGGGTGCCGAAGTACTGTGTCCGGAAAGTGTGGGTTCACTATTTGAATGAGGAAGATAATGCTGGCACCTGAGTCCTGAAGTAAAGGCTGGCATTTCGGAGTAGATGAGCCGTATAGTGAAGAGGTTGTACGAAGGAATGTGGGTTAAATGAAGTGGAGGGCAAAGGTTGCAGACATTTATATTTTTTGATGAGTCAGGGTGGACTATATTGTTCCTGGACATAAGTTCTCATGCTTGTCAGCCTCCAGATTAAAACTTCTATAAAGAGTTGAGCGAAAAGATCGGCTATTATGATATTTCAGCAGGATTTCTGCATTGCTGAATATGCATACGGTTGTTCAAACTCGTCATTTGTGAAATATATGCTAAATAAACAAATGAAAAGGGGGCGGTTGGGAGGGGAGTAAAGTATATGATAGGCAGTAAATATAGACAGGCTCTGAGACACAGTCATATGGAAAATTAGGGGAGATTTACATGCAAAAGGTCAAAGAGAGGCCAATAAATTTGTGAGACAGCCAGGAAAAATTGATCCCTGTTTCTTCCTCTTTCCAACCAGTCACACGCACATAAGGTGTGAAAAAGTACACATAGACAGTGTCCGCTCCTGGAACCACGCCACCTGAGCTAGGGATAGTGTCGAGCTGGACAATCGTTCGATTACCAACAATCCCTTTGATTCGAACTGCAATACGTGCACGATCAGTTGGTCCTGTACCCCAGCCTTTGAAGGATGGGCAAACAATCCTTGTTCCAGCTTGGATTATACCCCTTGGTCGTACTCCCCGTATCTCCTGGTAGTAGCTTGTTGCACCAGGAGTGAAAGCCGAGGGACCGTCCTTTCGGCAAAGTTGTATCTCCACAATGTTGGGTACGGTGCTAAGAGGTGGATAGGTTGGGAGAGCTGATGATCCTTGATGTCCTGGGAGGGCTGGTTGGCCATGTAACATTGGGCTACGGGCAACGGGCTCATAATGGATAAGGGAGCCATGGCATGTTAGCTCAGGTGGCGGCTCACAAATTTCAGGGATGTCGTAGGTGGCATTGCTGTGGACTGGAGGGAGTGGGAACCTAGGTTGGGGGGAGAATGGCAGGATACCCCGGAGGTATGACTGCCTGTATGGAGGCGGAGAGTGATCACATGGAGGTGGAGTGTGTTCAGCAAGTGAAGGTGCAGGATGGGAGTGACTGTGTGAGTGTGGTTTAGACATTTGGGCAAATCTGTGCGTTGGATTTGAAGGAGTGTGGAGCAGCAGTGGGCTTTTTTTTTTAAAATGAGGGGAAACCCGTTTTCAGCGGTGTCAGGCATTCCAACCTTGTCCTTG